CCCCTTGTTCAAGGTACTAGAATCTTGAGGAGGTTTTCAAATTCCGGATGTGTTCCCAAAGGACATTGTGTTGTATATGTAGGGGAGAGCCAGAAGAGGAGATTTGTTGTACCAATATCTTACTTGAGCGAGCCTTTATTTCAAGACTTGTTAAGTCAAGCTGAAGAGCAGTTTGGCTTTGATCATCCAATGGGCGGTCTCACAATACCTTGCAAAGAAGATGTGTTTGTTGATCTCACATCTCGTTTGAGATCATGAATCGTATCAAAGTGAAAATTCTCTTGCACAAGAAATTTTGTAGATTAGTAGACTTTAGATTTTAGAAAGAGGAGATTTAGAGAGGAAGTTTAATTTACTGTATAGTTCAGAAACACAAAATCAATAGAAATTGTTTCCATGATCATTTATGAATAGCAGAAGTGCTTTTTCTTGTAATCTCTACTTTGCTTATATTTTCTAAAACAATGCTGTTATTCATTTAGAATTGCACTGTCATGTGGAGCAAACTAGCCCATCCAAGAAAGTATCGTTTTAACGGAATGAGAATGATAACTGTGATAAGTAACAAGAAATTACGTAGCGGAACCAAGTCATCAGCTTTATCAATACTTGATGCTTTAAATTTTTAGGATGTCCTTGATTCCGAGTTATAAGAATTGAGAAGCAATGAGGGCTACTGTTCAACAAGTTTAGTGTCTGTATATTTGGATAAACTCTTAGATGTAAGACTTGCCATAAACTTTTAGATGTAAGACTTGCCATAAAACTTTCCTCTTCTGTGCATTTCTCAAGATTATGTGTTACTTATTCATTCTTTTAACATCAGTTAGCGTTAAGGATGTCCACAGTTGTTTCAGTATCATACTTGAGTCTTCCCCTAGATTTCAAATTTAGCTCATAGTGTTTTATCACCTAATTGCTTCTGAAAATACCATAAAATGTTCACACAGGATGCTAACTTAGAAGACAAGCCCCGCGATACTTTATCAAAGCCTGATTACAACATACATAAAATTAGGCATAGTTGATTGATTGATCATTTAGACCTTATTTGATGAAGGAGGTACCACAGTAAGTGAAATGCTTGCGATAAACAAAGAGGTGTAATACATAAGTGGTACCAATTCAGGATCAGATTGTTAATTCTACTGATAACCAAATATAAAAGTGAAAACTGTGGATATATATGGTAAATTTTCTGATAGAATAATATTCAATCTGTATGATGTGCTTAACAATTGTGTTCTTCAGTCTATGCCCTATCTAAACACTATTTTGAGCTAGCATGTTGATTATGACTCAACAAACAAGAAGTAGTTTGTTTCCACTTTCTAGGTGTGAATATGAAGTTGAATAGCAACATGAAGGAATTGAGAGGAGCAACGCTTTGTGAAGATCTCCTGCAGTTACACATTTTTTAACTAGCGAAATGATGTAGTCCATGAAGGCTGAATCACAAGGTAATGTAATAGGACCACCAGTCGGCAGCCCAAATTCTTCTTCGGACATGTTTAAAAGTTGCTGAATGGACTCATATTCAAGATAAGCCAAGGGAATCACGAAGCGTACTTGATCGACTGTATATAATACAAAATGGCCTTTTTCAACAATAGAGGATGTGGATGTACTGCAACTATCTGCATCACTACTATTTCTTGGAAATGAAATCCTCTTCCTCTGCGTGGCTGCAAACTTCTGCCATTTCTTAACCATTTTGATGAGTTTCTTAGTACTGATTATTGCCATTTTTTTTGTTTGGAAGATCAGAAAAAAGAAAGCTATTTAGAGAGGCTTTTGATGGCTGAACTTATAATGCTTGTGCTTGATGATGAAAAGGCTCATGAAAGAGGGCTTATTTATACAAGTTGAGCTGATAAGTTTGTTAAGCAAAGCCATGTGCTGATGCCTGTTGGCCTACTTGGTATTTCTCAGCAATGGCAATAATTTGAGAAACAAAACCATGTTCTGCTCTCTTATTTGTCATGTAGATTGGTGACCTTTAGATTTCCATCTCGGCATCAACTCATCGATTCTTGTGGATTTTATTTCAAATAAAAGAGGGGCCTAATGTCATTCTTCTACACATTTCCTGTCTGAATACTTGATGATATATAATAGAGTAAGCAAAACCATGTGAAGCTTCATGTGCCAATGTCTCTCACTGGTGGCCACCAAATCCTCTTCGTATATATACACACACATAGAAAGTTTCACTTGCTGTGTATTTCTCAAAATCTTTCAAGTCATCTTTTGAAGTTACAAAAGAGTCTCACTATGGGTATCAAAATGAGTCCCCTTATTCAAGGTACAAGACTCTTGAGGAGATTTTCAAATTCCTTAGGTGTTCCTAAAGGTCATTGTGCAGTATATGTAGGAGAGAGCCAGAAGAAGAGATTCGTCGTGCCAATATCTTACTTGAGCCAACCTTTATTTCAAGACTTGTTAACTCAAGCTGAAGACCAGTTTGGCTTCAATCATCCAATGGGTGGTCTAACAATACCTTGCAAGGAAGACGTGTTTGTTGATCTCACATCCCGCTTGAGATCATGAGTAGTATCAAAGTGCAAAGTCTCTTGAATAGAAATTTTGTAAATTAGTAGACTTAGATACTAGAAATAGGAGATTTAAAGTGGAAGTTTTACTGTATAGTTTAGAAACACAAAATCAATAGAATTTGTTTCCATGATCAATTTATGAATAGCAGAAGTGTTTTTTCTTATTATCACTATTTTGTTTACATTTTCTAAAACAATGCTGTTATTCATTTAAAATTGCACTGTGTGGATCAAACTATCACATATTAGAACGTATCGTTTGTGATAAGTAACAAGAAATTACGTAGCTGAACCAAGTCATCAGCTTTATCTATACTTGAGGTTCTAAAATTTTTTAGGATGTCCTTGATTCCAAGTTATGAGAATTGAGAAGCAATGAGGCCTAGTATTCAACAAGTATAGTGTAAGACTTGTTCATAAACTTGTTCATACACACTGCAAAAACTTCCCTTTTCTGTGCATTTCTCAAAAATCATATCTTGAAAGAACGTCTGCAGTTGTTCCAATATCATACTTGAGTCTTCCTTTATATTTCAACATTTGTTAGCTCATATTGGATGTCACCTAATTGGTTCTGAAAATACAACAAATTTTTTACACCGGATGCTAACTTTGAAGACAAGCCCTGCGATACTTAAGATACTAATGCATATACATAAAAGGAGGCATATTTGATTGATTGATCATTTAGACCTCATTGGATCAAGGAGGTACTGCAGTAAGTGAAATGCGTGCGATAAAAAAAGTAGTGTTAATACATAAGAGGTACCACTGGAGGATTAGATTGTTAAAGTCTTCTCATGAACAAATGTAAAAGTGAAAGCTGTCTAATTGGTAAATTTTCTCTTGATAAAATAATATTCAATCTGTATGAATAGCTTTACAATTGTGTTCATCAGTGTATGCCCTATCTAAAAACTATTTTCAGCTAGCATGTATTATGACTCAACAAACAAGAAGCTGTTGGTTTCCACTTTCTCGGTGCAAAGAAGAAGTCGAACAGCAAGAAGAAGGAATTGATAGGAGCAAAGCTTTGTGAAGATCTCCAGCAGTTATGCCTTTCTTGATTAGCGAAATGATGTAGTCCATGAAGGCTGAATCACAGGGTAATGTAATAGGACCACCACTCGGCAGCCCAAATTCTTCTTCAGACATGTTCAAGAGTTGCCTAATGATCTCATTTTCAAGGTAAACCAATGGAATGACAAATCGTGCTTGATCGACTGTATATACTACAAAATGGCCTTTTTCAACTGTAGAAGATGAAGCCGTACTGCAACTGTCTGCATCGCTAACATTTCTTGGAAACGAAATCCTCTTCCTCTGCATGGCTGCAAATTTCTGCCATTTCCTAGCCATTTTGATGAGTTTCTTGGTACTAATCATTGTCATTTTCTTTTCTAGAAGATGAAAACAAGAAATTAATTAGAGACGTTTGATGGCTGAATTGATAATGCTTGTGTTTGATAATGAAAGGGTTCAAGAAAGAGGGATTATTTATACAAGTTTAACTGATAAGTTCGTTAGGCAAATCCATGTGCTGATGCCTGTTCGCCACGTTCATATGGGGCCTTAAATTTGTGGGTGAATCTAAGTTGAAAATAAAAGATGATAAGTTTCTTCCTTTGTTATCTTTAATCAACTAGGCCTACTTGGTATTTCTTAGAAAAAACCATGTTGTGCTCTCTTCTTTGTCATGTAGATAGGTGACTTCATCAATCCTTGTGGATTTTATTTCAAATAAACGCGGGGCCTAATGTTGTTCTTCTACATATTTACTGTTGATAATGATAGAGTAAGCAAAACCATGTGAAGTTTCATGTGCCATTGTCTCTCACCAGTGGCCACCAAATTCTCTTCATCATTAAATTTGGATATGAAACTTACCACTAAATTTGTTTGTATACATATATAAAGAAAGTTTTTATGCAATACACAAGTCTCGGTTGCTGTCTATGGGTACCAAAATGATTTCCCATACTAGAATCTTGAGGTTTTCAAATTCTGGAGATGTTGCCAAAGGTCATTGTACAGTATATGTAGGAGACAGAAAAAAGTTTTTTAGGCAAGTAATTAAACACCTGTATGCAATCCAAGAAAGTGTCATTTAGCGGAATAAGAATTGACAGTTGCACTAACTAACAGTAAATTACATATACTAAATAGTTGAGCAGAAAACAATGTAGATATGGTTAAATTGCTTAACTACTTAAGGGTGTCCTTGATTCTAAGTCACGAGAAGCAACGAGGCCACCTACTATTGTTCTTCAACAAGTTTCACCGTTAAACGTTTGAATACTTAATTTTTTTCTTGACAGATAAACTTCTTGATGTGAGATTCTCCATTAACTAGCATATACAAAATATTTTAGCAGAACACAATGCAAGAAGCTTTCCTTTTCTGTGTATTTCTCAAAATAATTGCTTTTTTTGTATGTTCTTAGTTCATCATTTAGAATTAAAAGAACATATCTTGAATGAATGAGAATCAAAATGAATCCACTTTGAATGAAGAGTCGATATCTTAGTGGTGTTAATACATAAGAGGTACCAAACGAAGATTAGATTGTTAAGTCTTGTCATAACCAAATGTAAAAGAGAAAGCTGTGGATATGGTAAATTTTCTCTGATTAAATAATATTCATCAAACTGTATGATGTGCTTTACAATAATGCTCATCAGTGTATGCCCTATCTAAAAATCTATTTACAGATAGCATGTTTTATGACTCAACAAACAAGAAGCTGCTGGTTTCCACTTTCTCGGTACAAAGAAGAAGTCGAACAGCAACTAGTAGGAATTGATAGGACCAATGCTTTGTGAAGATCTCCTGCAGTTACGCCTCTGCTCATTAACGAAATGATATAGTCCATGAAGGCTGAATCACAAGGCAATGTAATAGGACCACCACTCGGCAGCCCAAATTCTTCTTCGGACATTTTCAAGAGTTGCCTAATGACTTCATTTTCAAGGTAAGCCAATGGAATGACAAAGCGTGTTTGATCGGCTGTGTATACTACAAAATGTCCTTTTTCAACTATAGACGATGAAGACGTACTACAACTATCTGCATCGCTAACATTCCTTACAAATGAAATCCTCTTCCTCTGCATTGCTGCGAACTTCTGCCATTTCCTAGCCATTTTGATGAGTTTCTTGGTACTAATTATCGCCATTTTCTTTTCCGGAAGATTGAAAACCAGAAAGTAAATAACAAATTTAGAAACTTTTGATGGCTGAACTTATAATGCTTGTGCTTGATGATGAAAAGGCTCATGAAAGAGGGCTTATTTATACAAGTTGAGCTAATAAGCTTGTCAAACAAAGTCATGTGCTGATGCCTGTTGGCTATGATCATATGGGGCCTAAATTTTGTGGATGAAGCTAAGTTTGAAAGTAAAAGATGATAAAGTTTTCTCTTTCTAACTCAGCAATGCCAATAGAAGCAAAACCATGTTCTGTTCTCAATCTTTGTCATGTAGATAGGTGACCTTTAGATTTCCAACTTGGCTACAAAAGCATGTGCCTTTGTCACCAATTTTTTTGACTACCACTAAATATTTGGAAATGAAACTTGTATATATATGCACACTGGTCTCCATTCTTTCTTTAGGTCTTTGTATAATTTTTTTAAGTTACAAAGCTGACTAAACTAAATATTTAATACAATTGCTAAAAGGCATGCCACAACTTAATTATCCCTTAAAAATTATTTAATACAAAAATATCCTCTTTAACTTGATCTCATTTCATATTTATGCCCTTCAACTTTGTGTATGCACAAGTAGATTGTTAAACTTGTATAAAATTGAACAAATAGACACAAACGTCTTACATGACATCACTTTAAAGTTTCAAGTACAAAACTATAATGATAATAAAAATACACACTTAAAATATTATATTTTTGGTGAGTTACATATTTTAATTACTAATCGTTTGTGTTTTCTATCTGAAACTATCATCACGATTTATCGAAACACACCTCAAAGCTGAATAAATCAAATATTGAATACAATTGCTAAAAGGCATGCTAAAACTTAATTAGCCCTTAAAAATTGGCATAATACATAATATACCTTTGCACTTGACCTCATTTTACATTAATATCCTCTACCTTTGAGTGTACAGAATTAGACATTTAAACTTGTATAAAATTGAATAAATAGTCACAAACATCTTACATGACATCCTACACAAAATTTATGTCCTATGTGACACATAGAACTCGTGTATCTATTTGTTCAACTTAATACAAGTTTAAGTCTTTATTTGTGCACATTTAAAGATGGAGAGCATAAATATAAAATAATAATAAGTTAAATGATATGTTTATTAAAAAAAATTATCCACGTGACAACTTGCTTATTATATATAAGGCTTTTTATATATATATATATATATATATATATATATATATATATATATATATATATATATATATATATATATATATATATGTATATAAATAATTTTAAGTAGAAAATGCAAACACTTTATAGTTCACATTAAAAACTCACCAAAAAAAATCATACTTTAGATATACTTTTTACTTTACCTATTATTTGTATTTCTGTAGTATTTTTTTTTGTATCTTTAATCAAACTATATTGTAAAGCAAAAATTTACTTAGTCAACGCATGTAATTAATTATAAGCAGCCTCCCAAATGCATAGTATTTACTTTTTAGTCGAAAAGAAAATATAATCTTCAAATTGAGCTGAAAAAGGAGAAAAAAAAAAGAAGCAACCGGAAAAATGGCCGCCGGCACAGAGAAGCTATCGGAAAAATGGTGCATCCGGCCGTAAAACCTTTATCTGACCTGATTGGTACTTGGAAAGGTGAAGGCGAAGGCTTTTTCCCTACAATTTCTTCCTTCAATTACTCCGAAGAACTCCAATTTACTCACTCTCCGAACAAGGTTAGGTTCCGAATAATTCCTCCATTTTAATTTATCTGTCTGATTTTGATTTGATACGAAATTTAAGAAATTGAACAAAGATTTTTTGAGTTTTGTAGTCTATAAATTAAAATTACGTAGAATATAATGGAATGTGCGTGTAAAGTTAAATTTAAAGAGTTGTCAAGAAAGGAAAGATATATTTTTTAAATGGAAAAAAGAAAATAAATTAAAATCGAAAGAGTATTTCATTGAAAATTTTTAGTGATTATATTGTAGAAATTTGTGATTTTTTTTTATCTACACTTCCTATGTCCTAATTTGTGTGGTTCCGTTTTCGTATGTTTATGGAAAAGGGAAGATTGTTATATTTAGAAATAATTTAACTTTAAATTTCTCGTTTTAGTACTAGAAGGGGGAATGTATACAGAAAAGACGGTTCTTTTAGTATCAGCAAGTGATTAGGTAATGATTTAGTGAGTTCTTTTTAGCCCGATGAACTCTTGGCACCGTCACATAATTGTTTATGGCTTGTTTTAGATCATAAGTTTCTAATTTGTTTGTTAAAACTCTATGCCTAGTCAAATGGTGTTATAAAAATGGGACGGAGGGAGTATTATATGTATACTAGTTCTCGGAACGTGCATCGCACGTTTGTCCCCTAATTGATATTAGAAAACTTTAATTTATATAGCTAAGTTTAAATCTAAGTCGTTTCATATGTAAGTTTAACATAAGAATATAACTCTGCACAAAATATAACATGAAAATATTGTGTTAGATATTAGAGGTTTGATATATTAAATACTTCATGAAAAATAAATATTTTATTGTATCAGATGAATTAATATAAATTAATAGCTAAACACATAAGTTTTAATAATCAAAAAAGAAATTGTCTATAAAAAAAGATAACGTATAAAGAAAAATATTACAAAATATTTGGGCGGTATACCATCAAATTTATAGAAAAAATTACAATTTCAAACGAAAAAAGAAGAAGTAAATAAAGACATGACATCCATAATAAAAGACATCACATTAAAATATATAGACAAATATTTTCATACTAATTGAATTACATTTTGTTAAAAGTAGACTTACTCTACACAAAACACGACTTACTCTAGACGAAACATATCATATGCATAAAAAACTATAATCATATAATAATAATAATAATAAATAAGACAAAAAGAAAAGAAGGCATGAATATGTTAAGAATAAAGATAAACTCTCTCTCTCTCTCTCTCTCTCTATATATATATATATAGAATGAATTCTAAAACAATATTATTCAATGTATCATTTAGTCATTTTTTACTATACATTATTTTTTATTTTATTTTTACTTTTGCACTTATTTTTTTACCTCTCTATAATAGTTAAGTACATGAAATTTTTAAACATTTGAGATTACATATAAAAAGGAAAAAGTACAAATATATTGGTTTAAAAAGATAAATGATTATCAAACAATGAAAAAAACATAATTATTATTCTATGAGATTTAACATGTTTACCCTCAAAATAATTAATGATAAATACAAAATGTGATTAGCTTTACTATATATATCCTAAAAATAGAAGAAAAGTTGAATACAAAAATACAGTAATCAACTACGAAGTTATATTTAAGAACTCAAAACGATGGAGATATGAAAAATAAATGTTTACTTACAACTTCATATTGGAGTATATTCATCTTGTAACTATCATAATTTACATATTTCTCAACAAAAAGAAGATGAATATGCATGAAATTTTAAAGAATACAAATAAATAAAATAGTAAGAATTCTTATAATTACAAACTTGGTAATGAAAATTTTACAAGGGATGTAGACTAACCTACCGTAGAATGCAAGATGATTACAAACTTGAATAACACAAGGAATATAAATAATGTGGTGTGAGTATGTTTGATAGACTCTTCACTTACCCCACTTATCTTACAAATTAAAATTGAAAGGTTATTAGACTCTTCATTATCTACATTTAATTAGTACATGAATATATGTAGTACATGAATATATGATGCATTAAGATCTTATTTGATGCATGAATTTAAATATAACTTTTACTTAATATTTAATTAATTAAATAGATATTAATTTATTTTAGAGGTAAAATAAGGGTAAAATGGTAATTCAACTTTGAGGTTAGGAGCTTCCACTTATAATAATACTAGTTTCCGGGCACGCGCTTTGCGCGTGTAACCCATGAATGTATTATTTCTTACAAGATAATACTATTAAATAATAAAATATGTCTAATTAAGATTTCTTACTTTGTTTTACTACTAATTGTGACACTCCAATTTTCTAACCTTCAAGTGAATGCATCGAGATAATAATATGAGAAATTAATAAAATAAACTTTGTTTGTAATTCAAAAAATAAGTTTGTAAAGCTAAGAGGAAAAATAACAACTATCTAAATTAAATTTCTTGATAGTTCCGTTTTATTGGTAGAATAATGCTAGATAGTGTAAGATTAACTTTGAGTGAAGGAAAACAAAACCTTTTAACTTTTTTAATGAATGTGTTTAAGTATTGTATTAAATTTTTATTCACAAACACTTTAAACTAATTAGTTAACTATAAATATTTAAAACTAAGATGTAAAAAGTTTTAACATTTATATTTTAAAAATCAGGATATTTATGAATAACTACTATTTTTATATAAAATTTAATTCTGTCATACATAACTTATCTACCATTAATCTAATATTATATGTTTCACCTTTTTTTTCCATAAAAAGAAAAGAAAAGAGTAAACATCCTATTTTATCACATTCATTCTTAAAGATGAAAATTAATGTATATGTAAAAATTATAAGTACGGAGAAAAGAAAGAAAAAAAAGGTACACATGAGCAAGATAATTAGGCATTTCATTTTGTTTGTCTCTATAGTGAAATTGAACATTTGAGCATACAAAATACAAATATGAATTTAGAGCAACTTGCTAATAAAACAAGAATTCAACTATATAGAAGAGACACAAAAAAGTCTTATTATAATTCTTACTACAAATAAGTATAAAACTAACATATCAAGCTCCGATGCTTCAGTAATTAAATTCTTATCTATTCTCGTAACTGCACAAGGGAATCTCACAACTTTCACCTCAAATTGGGACATTATTTCACATGTTTAGAGTTCCTACATACAAGAATTGTAGGAGTGGTAAATAAAAGTTTTTCTTGAAAAAGTTAAATTTATAGAACAAAATTATGGAAACATGAAAAGTCACATGAATTATTGTTAAAATAAATATAAAAAAGATAGAGATGAAATTTAATTTTAAAGATACATGAATCTACTTTGTTAAAATAAATATAAAAAAGATAGAGATGAAATTTAATTTTAAAGATACATGAATCTACTTTAATTCCTTGTCTATAAGGAATAATTACTCATTTTTATTTTATTTACATTTGTGTTTGTGTTAGAAATTTGAAAGGTCAAGATTATGGAATGAGAATAAAAAGATTATATATATGAAAATTATAAAAGTTTTAATTTATTAGAGGGGCAAAATAGTATTCAACTTTTAAGTTTTGAGCTTCATGCTTATAATAATATACTAGTTTCAGAAACGTGTGTTGCACGTTTATCCCAAATATTTTATATAAATTTTGTTTTGTAAATGACATATTTTCTCCACTTCAATTTTATTGGTATTTACTAAAAAAATCACTGTTTTTACAATTGAAAGTTCATATATCATCCTAATAAAAAAAACGCAAATCCTTAATTATAAAATTGACTAAAAGTGCATAAATGGTTAATTCATGTACTAAAGTGACTATTTATAAAATTCTATAACTATAGTTGGAAGTTGAAAAGACCTTACAAACATTGAATTAATTTAGTAAGATGAAAAGTTATTTTAAAGTATTGAAAATGCTGAAATAAATGACAATTGAAAGCATATTAATTCACCTCTTTGTATGCCCAAATACTTAATTGATTTTTATTAAAATTTAAATATGCCATGTATGTGGACATTATGGTGTAGTATTGAATATGATGATTTTCTTCATTAATGATAGAATATTTAATTAATATTTTTATAATAATTTTATTTAGTGTAAGATAAAATAGTAATTCAACTTTTAAGTTTTGAGCTTCATGCTTATAATAATATATGATGATATATGATATACATTGTTTGAGTCTCCCTAAAAAAGGGAATCTTGTAACAAATGGGCTTCGTAAAATTGTGTTAACTCACATTTTCAAGTTCCAAGTGTTGCATTCTTGCATTTCTTTTTTCGAATCCTGTTATTAGAATTACTGGCTGTCACTATACAAGCGATGATTTTTTTGCCTAAATTTTGCTTCTTTTTATCAGCCTGTGATAGCTTATTCTCAAAAGACATGGAACTTGAAATCTGGACAACCTATGCATTCTGAGAGCGGATACTGGAGACCTAAACCCGATGGGACCATTGAAGTCGTCATTGCTCAGAGCACCGGTCTTGTTGAAGTCCAGGTGATCAACTTATTATTAGAACAGTTTTACATTACCAGTGAACAATAAGTTAAATCATTTCTATGATTCATGAGTCATGCCTCTGAATTTCATGTTATCAGTTTTACATTGGTTTTTCCTTGTTTTGGTCCGCGATTCTAGTGTTGAGATGGTAATTTGATGTTAAAAAAACAAGACTCATTGACAATCTGGGAGGTCAATTGTATATGTCGGCGTGTTTATCCATTTTGGTTCACCATAAAACATAATATTTCTACTTACAGAAAGGAACATATGACATGAAAGAGGGAGTTGTGAAGCTTAAAAGCGAACTGGTTGGCAATGCTTCCAAGGTAATCTCCTCTAGAACATTTTATCTGTTTTTTTCTACCTTCATCTTTGACCCTTTTATGCGCTTGTACACCTTTATAATAGAGTTACAAGTTTTCATGTTTTCTAGGATGTAAAGTTAAAGTAGAAACTGAAGTCTTGAAACATATATGTGTCGGATTTGACGTGAAGAAAGTTACAAAGAAAAAGTAAATGTTAGCATATTCTACAAGTATTGTCTTGCAAGATGATGTTTGTGGAAATGGTTTCAACTTTTAAGTTTTTCTTAAATGCAAGTATCGTATTTACGTTTGGGGGAAAAAGCCCTTTAATTGTTGGTGGAGATTGGTGTAGTTCGACTAATAATGTGATCCTTCACTTACCTGATGGACAGGTCAAGGAGATAACTCGAGTTTTTAAAGTGGAGAATTGTGAACTATCGTATGCTGTGGAGATGGCTACCAGTCTAACTGATCTTCAGCCTCATCTCACAGCCTCTCTTAAGAAGCAAGCTCTAGGCTGTCACCTCATAACCGGCGATATAACTACCTATACTACATCCCAGGCGCACTTCTTAACAAATGTTTGTGTGTGTTTACATTTTACCAGAAGTATGATACTGAATGTTAATTGCAAGATAAAACTCTATTTCTGTAATAATACAAGATTTCGGTTTCCTTTTTTTCACTTGCTATAGTATATCTATATTGAGCTATCATTTACAAAACATGATCATTAATTTCATGACTCAATAAACAAGAATCTGGTGGTTTCGACTGTTTTGGTGCAAAGAGAAAGTTGAACTGCAACATGAAGGAATTGAGAGGAGCAACGCCCTCTGAAGATCTCCAGCAGCTACACCTTTCTTGATTAGTGAAATGATCTGAAGATCTCCAGCAGCTACACCTTTCTTGATTAGTGAAATGATGCAGTTCATGAAGCCTGAATCACAGGGTAATGTAATATGGCCAGCCCAAACTCTTTCTTCAGACTTGTTTGAAAGTTGTGCAATGGCCTCGTTTCAGGGTAAGCCAACGGAATGATAAACCGTGCTTGATCAGCTGTATATATCACAAAATGACCCTTTGCAACTCTAGAGGATGAGGATGTACTGTAGCTGTCTTCTTCACTTCCACTTCTCGGAAATTGTTGGTGATTGCAACATTGAGTTTCACCATGGAAGTGAACTTGATTCAGAGCTCAAAGAGAATGGACGAAAGATGAGGGACAAAGTCTGATTATCTCTCATCTTTAGGACATTTTTATCCTCTTTCCTATTTCAAATCATCTCAGCCTTTGATCACAACTAGTATTATATTTCATCATGAGAATCATCATAGTTGTCCAAGGAATATTCCAGATATATTCCATTATATATGTAAATATTGTTTTTTATTTATTTACAATTAGTCAGTTAGAGAAAAACAAATAAGAGAAGGACAGCTGGTAGTATAGTAACAAATTTTTATTAC